GGTCGAAAGTTCAGCAAAATGAAATTCGATTCGATCAATTATAACATCAAGAAAAGATACTTGTACTAGGGGAAAAGAAAAAAGAAAAAAGAAAAAAAAAACAAAAAAAAAAGAAAATACTTGGACGAAAGAAAAAAAAATGAGAGAAAAAAAGAAACAAAGAAATTGTCTGCCATAATTAATGGAATGGTCCGATGGATGAGGATGATTTTTCTTCGATAAATCGTCGAGTGTTAAAAAAAAAAAAAAAAAAAAAAAAAAAGAAAAAAGGAGAAAGAAAAAAAGAAGAAATATCAAAAGAATGAGAATAATAGAAGGGTGGGGGAAATAAAATAACGAAATTCAATCAAAAGATAGAGAAGATTCGAAATAATGGCGCCTTTCGAGAAAAGGGATATTCTCTTTCTCAAGATAGAAAGAAAAAGTGAGAGAGAGTGAGAGAGAGAGAGAGATAGGAAGAAACAGAAGAGTCGGTCGGTCGAAGGAGGGGAAAAAGTTATAAGGTTTACCGATAGGCGTCGGTACGATCGTCGATGAACGGAGCAATGTGATTGGTGGTTTTGAAAGTAGTTCCAAACCATGTGTGTTTCGTTTCGCACCTTGTGCGAACGGGAGCTACCGGTATATTCCTATGTACCAACACAAGCACAAAAAGATAGAGAAGAACGAGAAAGAAAAAGAAATAGAGAGAGAGAGAGAGAGAGAGAAAATGTGAGACAGATTGTCGGGACGGAAAGAGAAGGAGAAAGAGAAAGAGAAAGAAAGACGAGGATAGGTCGACGATGAAAAAGAAAAAAGAGTGAGAAAGAAAGAAATATATATATATATAATATATATAGATATAGATATAGAGATAGAGAGTGTAGCGAGTAAGTAAGTGAGTGAGTAAGAGTGAGAAAGAGAAAGAGAGAGAGGGAGAGAGACGGAGAGAAAGACAGAGAGAGTGAGTGAGCGAGAGAGTGTATGTGAACGAGCAAACGAGCGAAGAGAAGAGAAGAGAACAGAAGAGAAGTATAGGGGCCTAGGGCACAGAATCGAACCGCCGTTGGGTTGGCTCCACGGTAACGCTGGTGGCTCTGTCCGACTGGTGTGGTGACCGACCGTGGTCGTCGTCCGTCCGTCATATTCCCGGTTTGAAAGCAAGGTTGCGGGTAGAGTTGTTGCGACGCAGGAGACGAGAGAGACAGAGAAGAAGGTGCAGTGATCTGGTGTGTTTTAAGGAGAGAGTTTTTTTTTAAGGAAAAATTTCGAGAAGAGAGGAACACACGCTACACCGGTCATGGAAAAGCGGATATTTCTCGAGCAACGGGGCAGGAAACCCGCCGACGTAAGCCGAATTTTAGCAAAAAAAAAAAATAATTATTATTATTTAAAAAAAATATATATATATATACATGTATATATGTAATATAATATAAGGAAGAAGAAGGAAAGAAAGAAAAGAATTAAAAGGAAAGAAATATATATATATTATATTATATTATATTATATACATATATAAATACAGATTTATTTTATTGCGCGTACCGTACCGTACCGTACCGTATCGTACCGTACCGTACCGTATCGTACCGTTGCGTTGCCTTTGCCTTTGCATTGCTTTTGCTTTTGCTTCCGTTCTTTTTTCGTTTCTTTTCTTTTCTTTTTCTTACTTTTTTCTTTTTTTTTTTTTCTTATACATGTGTGTGTATGTACGTACATACATACATACATACGTACATACGTACATACATACATATTTACAAAATGTGTAACGTAAGTGTGTTATAAAGAGAGAGAGAGAGAGAGAGAGAGAGAGAAACATAGTCTTGTTCGAGACAAACTAAGTGTTCCACGACGACGATGTTGACGATAATGGTGGTAATGATGAAGACGTAGGATGACGATGACGATAATGACGATAATAATATATAGAATATACCTTTTTCAAGGAGAAATTAACATGATAGAAAGAGAGAAAGAGAGAGAGAGAGAAGAAAAGAAAAAAAAAAGAGAGATACAAGTATCTTCGTCTTCGTTTTCATCGTCTTCATCATCGTCGTCGTGTAGTGATATCGCAATGGTCGTCTTCATCGTCGTCGTCGTCGTCGTCGTCGTCGTCGTCGTTATAGTCGTAATCGTAGTCGTAGCCGTAGCCGTCATTATCGAGAAGCAACGAGCGCGGTCTATTTCTCTCTCTCTCTCTTTCTCTCTCTCTCTCTCTCTCTCTTTCTCTTTCTCTTTCTCTCTCTCTTTCTCGACTTTAACTTTCGAGAATGCAAAGCAGAGCACAGTGTTTTCTCGTGACTTCGCCGCTTCTCTGACCGCGTGGCTTCACGAACGATCTCTCGTAGAGCGAACGCCGACAAAGCGTCGTCTCCTCGTTAACCGACATGGGATAACACACTCTCTTTCTCTCTCTCTCTCTCTCTCTCTCTTTTTTTTTTTTCTCACTTTTTTCTTTCCATCTGTAATAATCATTTTTCTTTTCTCTTTCTTTCCATCTGTAATAATTTTTTTTCTCTTCTCTTTCTTTCTTTCCTTTTTTTCTTTCTTTCGTTCTTTTTTTCTTATTATTCTCTTTCTCTCTCTTTCTCTCTTTTTCTCTCTTTTTCTCTCTTTTCACTCTGCCAACGGGACGCAAGAACGACGAAGCATGGCGTGCCGCTTCCCTCTCGAACGGACGACTATGTTTTTCGATATATTCTTACTTCTTTCTTTCTCTTTCGTTTTCTCTCCTCTCTCTCTCTCTCTCTCTCTCTCTCTATATATATATATATATATATATATATATATATATATATATATATATCACTCTCTCTCTAGTTCTTTTCTATATACATATTATTATCCTCCTTTTCCTTTTTTCTCTATTTATTTATTTATTTATTTATTCTTTTGTTCGTTCGTTCATTCATTCATTCGTTCGTTCGTTCGTTCAATCGTTTGTTCATTCATTCATTTTTATTTGCTCATTTCACATTTGCATTTACATTTACTTCGTTTATTTTAATTTTCTTTTTTTCCCTTCTTCTAAGTTCAAATTCAATTTCTCGTTGTT